GCGTTTCGAACTGTTATTAGCGACTTGATGCCAAGATGAAAACGGTGCCCCTCGGCCCCCTGCCCTCCGCAGAAGCCCCCACTTCTCGTTCCAGAGAATTATGAGCGCCGCAACGTCTTTTCACGGTGTCCAGCACTAGTAGTGGAATCACAGACTATAAATAGTTAAGCACATTCCATTCCATGTCTTTCTGTGTACATTTCTATACTCCGCAAGTTAATTTACATTCTGTCAGCGAAGTACTTTTTGTATATCAGTGCAGAATATTTCACGGAGTCTATAACTTATTTGGGTATGGTCATCGGGTAAAATTTGAAATTGTCAGTAATCTCAAAGAAAATAAATTCAGACGTTTATTTACATCTCCATTTGTAATTACGAAATACTATTCATCATAGTTTGCTTATAAGAAATATTACTTTAAAAAGAACAATCTCTAGTCGGCATTCATAAGAGTGCGTTTTGACATGACTTCACTTGTCATTACTAATACCGTAAGGACCGTACACATCAACTGACGTCACTTCCGTGTCTCTGACCGGGAGGTCTTAGGGTTCGAATTCTGACAGAGGTGGAATTGGCAAGGCAGCTAAGTCGAATTCAGCCGCTGTCGGCCAAATTAGGCCAGCTGCCCTGATCGGTAGATTTCCTTGGTTTATTCGAATACCTAGGGAATGCGGGAACAGTACCCTAACCGAACAAACGGGCCACGGACCGCGCCCGATCTGTCCTTCCTCTTCCTTGTTCAATCATTGCCGCTTACTTACACACTGCACTATCACTCTGGTCGAGAGACCAGAGGGGGCGTAGAGCTTGTGCCGGATGGGGCGTTGCCCTCTGGACGAGAAGGTCAGCGCCGGATCTCGCCATCCAGTGGAGCAATAACACCTCCACATCCCGTGATAAAATCAAGAACTACACTTACAAGTATACTGCCATAGCAGTTGACGGGCTCGGAAACATCAATAGAATATACATAAAATAAGATTTTCTTTCTGTAGCACATGATTTTAAACGTCTATAAACCAAATTTGTGTGTTTAAAGAAATGTGATTGCTGTTATTTTGCGTATCACGTGCGTTCATGAAGAAATGGAATATCAAGTTTTAGTAGTTTCTGGTTAGTAAACATGTTTGGCAATAACTCTTCAAAATATGTCAAATTATTATTAACACAGATGCAGTAATTTTCAATGAATACTGAAGTATCAAACTTGCCACAGAAAAAAACTAATTGTTATCCGTTTTGTTAATACAAATGCAGAGTTGATTGACGTTTGTGGTTCAGTGGTCTGTTAACTCCTAGTAAACTATCATGGAGAAATTCCATCTGTTACCTTCTTTTCGTCTGTCTTAAATCCTGAGGAAACCGTTCCCTTTGATTTCCACTGAGTTCTCTACGTTTTCCAGAAAATATAGAATATGTGAATGAAGAGAATTTAACTTCAAGCTCATAGTACATTCGAGTCCCTTGAATTTTTCGAGGATCGTTTAATTCTTTAAATAATAAGTTCGTATTGAACGTCTTTAACATTGCCCAGAAACGTGTTGATAACATTCCTGAATGAACCCCACGGTTAAAATTCTAAACGTATACTTAGTCATTGGCATTAGTCACTGTGCACAATGTCTGTCGCTCAAAAATGAAACTGTAAGAGCCACGTTTGAATACACTTCCAAGAACCTCTTAGCATCCAACTTCATATCACGAGAAGGGAAGTTCGTTTTTGTTCGCATCCTGTTTCACTAACATTTGTGCGGGGAGCCCCTCCGCTCCCCTCTGTGACTTGTGCGAGTTCAAATCTTGTATTGCCGATTTTCGGCGAAAAAGGTTTTCAGGAAAGACTCGACGGCATGTTACTGGAAACTATTAGGATTTCCTATTAAATACCAAGCACAATGCAGGTACATGAAATTGATATTATCTACAATTAACCACGTACGGAATCACAAAACACGCAATTTAAAATTAAATTATGAAAATATAAGAAATAAATGATTAACGATAATAGTTTCTAAGCAAAATACGCGGAATAATTAGTAATTCAGAAAAATATGATGCTTATTAAGAAAATAGGCAAAATATGCAAGATACGTATCGTACAATCTTCTTTAAAAACTTTAATTGGATACTGGATGATTCATGTACAAAACTAGTGACCCTACTTTCTTATTACAAGGAGGAAATGGCCAGTTGCCCTGAAATCCGGTCCCTACTAATGTGTCTTTGGGCCCCACTTGTTCTATTTTCAGGCCATTTGCTGGTGATACGCTTCATATCAGAACTTACGCTAAATAGTAGGTAATGAATCCGTGATGATCATCTCACCTAAGTGAGCAATCCTAAAATTTGACACTTCACACACAGATACACACACACACACACACACACACACACACACACACTTATAAATATTTCAAGTTAACATTAATTTTACAAATACCAATCCGCCATTAAAATTTCACATTATTAAATACGATTTTACAGACTTAATAATTCAATATTAAATAAGAGAAATATTAAACAACCGAAACGTCAATCCGCCTTGTCATTCTAAAATAATTAAAATCCTGACCAAGAAAAGCGTTTTCAAAGCAAAATAGATAATTGCAATAAAAACTGATACAATGGCAAGTTCTTAGTAACATACTATTATATTAATGACAGAGTTAGAGACAATATAGTTGTACATACTGGAAATTATCTCTAACGATACTTTTGAGAGTGCAAAACACACATTTGTATTGTCTAATTTTCACCGCAAGTTAGCTTGTGACATAACAGCGGTTCGCCGTTCTCGAAGCCTACGCTGGCAGCTGGTTTCCTTTGAAGGCTTTCGTAGGCGGAGCAGTCTGCGTGAATCATTCCCAATAAACTAACAGAGAAATTCGCTCGCTCTTTCACGGACGTTTGTCGAAAGTGGAATGGAATTCCGTTGCCCACGCCCCTGTTTAATACGGGAATAGCCGACGAACAAACGTTCATTGATTTTCACTATTCTCGGATTTCCAGCCGCGAAATTTTCGCAACAATAAATTCTCCTATAACGATCATTAATTATTTAGTGTGTTTAGATGGACGCATTTCATCGAATCATGGGAACGTTGGATTTCTATTCGAAAATAATATCTATTCGAAATATAATAAATAATTCGATGAAACGATGAATACAAATGTAGCATTTTTGCCAAAGTAAATTCATTCATTCTCACTTAAGTATTCTATTAACGAACGAGAAGTAAACAGTATTCCCGATGATTCATAGGTCTGGGTAATTCCTACAATTTCCATTCGAGAGATCAGAGTTCGGAATTTACGCTAGACGGCATGAGGAGATGCTAACTAGCAATTACATTCCCTCATTATTTTTAACTTCCTGTTCTGCGAAGATTAGTGCTGTAACTCAGCTGGAAAATCAACTTCAAAACCTTGACCGCGGACAAAGAATCAAAACGGTATCCAAGATGCATAAAATGCTCAGTGAATATTATTAGAGCATTGAAAGTTTTCTTTTTTTCATGTAAGAACTATACTTGCGTACGTATACTCCTCAAATAATGAGAAGTCTTACCTCAGAGAAAAATAAGTCTCAATCAGGAAAACGTGCACTTACACACCTTCCGGATAAACAGATCTTAAACACAATACATAATCAATTTTCCATCCTTATCCTTGAACATCAACACCTACTACATAAAAGTAATGATGTTTATTAATAACTTACTAACGAACTAAAAAAAAATACACAGAAAAAGGAGAAAGTCTTGGTTGACACGAAACATTAATCCTCTCGCGGTATTACCCGATGTTTAGAAATATGGAAACAAGACAAGTGTACTTCATCTACAGTCAGAGAGTGTGACAAGCGCATCACTTTGGACGGGCATCAGCGTCGCGCCTCTCTACTACCCTTCCACAACCATGAAAAATTACGTGTCTCTCCCGTGGCTTCCTACGTGCACGGGGCTGCAGAGATGGCCCTCTTGGTGTTCGAGATGGTCGAGGTCGAGGTGGGAGTAAAATACACAGGCTGTACGAAGTTAGTAAAATGAAGTCTTGGAAAGAGCAGCATCTGTTTGAGTGTGCTAGTCAAACTTCAAGGTCTTTTAAGCAGTCGATTGACCCGGTCTTCACGCTTCCTATTGAAGAACGTTTTCGGAGTTCTAACGAACGCACACATGCGCACGTTCACTAAAACTCCAAATTAGTTCGTCAAATCGAAACATGTAAATCGGATTAGGGTATTTACAAGTAGATAAGACCACAAATGATGATAACGTGCGTGGGCTACAATAGTGGCACAACCGAAAAATCATTGGTTGAGATAAAAACGTTTGAAGTTTTCACCTTACATTGAAATGAATCATTCGTGCACACACAATTGTGCTATTTATTAGTAAAATTCTGTACTGTAAGATATGCTGCTGGAAGGTGGACGAATCTGCAATTCCGGAGAGTGCATTAAATCAAACTTCAATTTTTTTTTAGTTGTGTCTCTAGTGCAGTCCACGAGCGATATTGTTTGGTTTCGTTTCCCGACTGGACGCCAGAATCAAAGATCGGCCCGGAGAGTCACAAACTGCGCCACGGAGGTTATTCTTGGTGGAGCGACGTGGGTGAGCTAGCCTTGCGCGCTGATTTTTGCTCGATCTGTGCAGCACCGGTTTATGTCACGAACCACGTGGCCATAATACGGGCACTTCGTTTGAAAAGCCAGACAAGTTGCTGGCCGCCATGTTGCATGGAGGCGTACTGAGAAACATTTAAAAAGTGGCATAACGTGACAATTTTCAACGAAAAATAACTGAAAGTTATAGCTGAAATAAAATATTCGATATTGTTTTAAAAAAATGGTTCGTATGTGTTTCAATGCCTTGTACGAAGGTGATAACTTTGGTATCCGGCTGCATTGAAACTTCAGGCTAATACTGTGACGCAAACTGGTGCCTGAAATCGGATACTTCGCATCGCGGGCGCACCAAAGAAGAGAGAATCTCACCGGCCGCGGGCCGCTTCTTGTTGGGGCAGCAGACGCCGAGCACACCGTCGGCGGTGAGCGCGCACGTCTGCTTGCGCAGGTCGGGCAGCTCGGCGTAGAAGGTGATGCACTTGACGAGCGGGCGGCAGGTGCCCGCTTCGCCCGAGTCCATGGCGCACGGCGGCCCGGCGTCGGGCAGCGGGCCCGTGGGCGCCGGGGCGGGCGCGGGCGGCGGAGGCGGCGGGGGCGGCTGCGTCTGGCGGTTCACGATGGGCGGCGGCGGCGGCGGCGGCGCGCGAGGCTGTGCGGTGGTCGGCGGCGGCGGAGGCGGCGGCGGGACGCCGGGCACTAATGGCACCTGCTGGCCACTCAGTTGGAGCTGTTGGGGAAGAACGAGGAGTGGTTGGTGGCGACTTCAACTCTTCATGTGGACACAGGAGCATTCTGGCAACTGTGGGGTCGTTTACGGCCTCAATGAACTTTTATTAGTTAAAACCAACATTAATAATAATAGAGTAATAAAAACATCGGAATTTTGTTATCACATGATTGTTTGTTTTATTAATTTTTAATTGCCAGATTCTCATTTCTGTGAAAATTATAGGTGTAGTAAATCCAGTGATTTCGTTGCACGGATATGATCTCTTTTAAATAACCCAAAACCCGGCAAATGGTAGGTTGGTGGATTTGTAGCGGCTAAATGGTTGTATAAGTAAAACTATAGAGCAAGATACATCCAAGTTGTTAGGAGAGTTTCTTTTGGTGCTGTAAAGTAAGATACGGTTTTCTGGCTTGTCCCTTATTGCATCAGTCGTTCTCATTGTGCATAGATTTAAAAACCAACAATGGAGCGTCATCGTATAACAGCAATGCATCAACAATTTCTTTGATATGTAAATCAACACACCAGTCGTTACCTTGAAGGGTTTTAGGCTCAAAAATGTTTGACATTGAAGTTTCTTTTATGTCAGAGTTACGTATGACACAACACAACTTCGGCGCTTCGTTAATGTAAACTTTCTCTGGAAAACTAAGCTGGAAGAGACTGCCACTGATTACGTCGTGATTTGTTGTGCGAACACCTAACCAGGTAGCAATGACGAAAATTTACAATCGGCATGAGTCAGGCATTTCACGCGAGGGTTAGTCATGGGTGCTTAGCTTTAATATTTTGATTTAATTTATCTTTCTTTATTATCAGACTAATCAAATAAAAAAATATTCTCATCCATCTTTTTTCTAGGTTTCAAGTGGTTACCGTTGTTCATCAAATTCGCCAAAACGCCAAGCGAAACACAATGAAAAACATTTCGAAAATTCTCCAAGAGTCTGAAACGCGAAAATATGGGCAAAATTCCAGTTTAAAAACTGAATTCATCAATTCATACTTTCAATTTTCGATTCACAACACGCACAAAGTAATCCAATAGTCCAAACATGCAACTGGAAGTCCACGCCCCATATTATCCTCCTTGTGACCAGAAGACCAAGAAGGGGCACCCACCTGAAGCCGAACTTGCAGGTCCTGCTGCGCCACCTGCGTCTCCTGCAGCAGCGACAAGATGCGCGCCTGCTCCTCCAGGAAGCGCGCCTGCTGCTGCGGGTCCGCCGCCACCTGCAGGCGACGCTGGATCTCCTGCAGCTCGCCCTGCAGCGACTGCGTGGCCAGCTGCAGGCGCTGCTGCTCCAGCTGCTCGGGGAAGAGCTCGGTGCGGAAGGGCGGCGGCTCCTCGCGCGCCTGGAGCTGGGCCGCCGCCGCCGCTACCTGCAGCACCAGCGCCAGCGCCAACGCGCCAAGCTGCAGGCGCGGCAGTGGCCGGGGCGGCGGCGGCGGCAACGCCGGTGAGGTGCGGACACCCTGAAGGCCCATGGCGGAGTGCCCGTCTGGCTGCCGCTGGCTGGCTTGCCGGCGGAGGAGGAGGAGGAGGAGGAGGAGGAGGCTCGCCGCCGCCGCCGTGACCCGCACGGAGCAAGGTCGCCCGGCCGCCGCGCCGCGCCGCACGGAGGAGGCGGCTCGCGGCGCCGCGACGCTTCGGCGAAACCGCCCGCTCGCCCACCCGTGCGAGACTAATCCGAGGGCGCGTCTGCACAGCGATGACGAAAACGCGGATGACGGGACGAGCCCCCCGACGTCTGGTAATTTTCGGTGTGGATGGTATATTGCCCTTGGGTTGGTGAATGATTAATTATTTCGGATTGTTCATCGCTCGTCTTTGGGTCATTAACTTTAAGTACCAGGAAATTTTTACATTATGTACTTTTTCGACGGTTTTTATCTTATTAGCACTCATGGCCATGAGGAAAATTTACTGTTTTACGTCATTCCTCATCCATTTTGTCTTAATTTCATTTGGATGTCTCTTAATACCTTTCTTTCTCCAAAACCTCGTGTGGTCTTTCTCTTCTCTCTCCGTCATCATTTCGCGTGCGTGTTATAAATTTTCCTGAACGTGCAGGTAATGTGTAGATATAGTTTTAGAATTTCTGAAACAGTATTTTTCAGGCTAAATTAAATGTTGTACATACCGTATCTCGAAGTGCTTATATTTTGGAATTTCTATATATGACAATATTTTATTTTCAGATGTAATTCGAAAAAAGAATTCATTCAAAATTCACTCTTTGAGTATTTTTCTAAGTCCATTTCATTAAGTGATAAATCCATTAATAATTGTCACCATAAGCAACATTGTAATTGAACGTCAGCTTCCATTTTAACGGAGAGCAGGGAATTTATTTTCATAAGCTGTTTATATCCATGACCAGCTACCACGGGTTTTTAAAAGTATCTGCTCGATTTCGAAAGGGAGTGTTCTTTATGTGAAATGTGTTTAACACCTCCTAATTTATATCATAAAGAAAATAAATAAATACATTTATAACGTATCTATAACACTACGTACGCGTAGGCCGTAAATCACGAGTAACTCTTCAACTTCCCTATATTGCTGTTCAATACAATTTTTGTCTAAGAAGATAATTCAAAAAGTCTAAGCAAACAAAATATTTCTGAATGATTTCAACAACAAAAAAGATAAGAATGCCTTATTTTCACAAAGTCTCTTCGCTTCACGATATTCTGATCACACCGATGCTGTAACTTTTTTATTCCCCTAGAAAATTCGTTTTTGTTTTCCTTTTTTTTCGGCTTCAAACAAGAATGCACCGCATTTTTTTACGTGTTCATCACTCTCCATTTGCCATCTCCTCAAGGTTCAAACGCAAGAAAGTGTAATGAATGGAGATCCGGAGTGTATGGGAGATGTCGGAAGACATGAAAGTTTTTGAATTATTTCAGAGTTGGAACTGCGCTGTCCGTATGAGAATTCTCGTGAAGAAAAAGAACGCCTCTTCACAGAAGTCCTCAGTAACGGCTTCGTGTTGCTGGCTTTAGCTCCTTCCACGTTGCGATGTACCGGGCACCAATCATTGTTTAACGCCCTTCCTGATAGTGCTTCAAAACCGGACTATTAGTGCCCAGCAAAGAGTGAACACGATTTTGCCGCCGCGCCTCAGAGATCGATCTTATCGCCATGGCGGAGGGCTGAGTGGAGTCTACCGGGTCAACCAGGACGTTGCTCGTCAATTACTGACGTCTGAATGACTCTTGAGCTACTGCAGCTTTTGTGGTACCTTCTAACATCGTACTTCTATACATTTCTTTAGTTTTTTTTACGCTGTCTGTCCAATAAAATGTCCAATTAACTGGAATGCCTGCTCGCTGCTCTTCTATGATGCACAAATCTAGTGCACTGTAATTTGTTTCAGCTGCCCGTTGCATTGCGTAGATCATGACATATATTGCCATGCGCCATATGTCAAGTGCCAAGAAGGTACTTATTTTTCGCGAGAGTTTCAAATGCCTGGAGTGTAACATTGTGAATTTGCTTGTACTTTAAAATCACCTTCGTAGTAGCGTATATTTTCCCCCTCACGGCCTCATGATAGCAGATTATGACGACGTAAATTCCCAACAGTGGGGGGTCCTTGGGTTTAGGCAAGGTAGGCACTGCCTACCCTGACGAATATGTACTAGTATAAAACATTTGGTAATAATAATAATAATAATAATAAAATTAATGCCTCTTATAATTTTAATATGATGTGTTACTCATTTGCAAATAAATAATGAACATTTCATTAAAGTTGCATGAGCCATATTCCCATTTCTAACATCCCGTGCACCATGCCATCTATCTCTCCTTTTCCCTCAGAGACTAGCGCCCGCTCCCCTCTCTTTGACCAGCGAATTCTCTTGCTACTTGCCTGCGTGGAAGTCTCCGAATTCCACTCACACGCAAACCTCGTAGCGAATATTTTTACTGTTTTGTTGACCACTTTACAAGCGGAGAAAGTGATTATTACTTACGAAGTTTTCTTTCAAGTCAAACTAGTAAGCTTCATATTATTACTATTACGTGATTTTTTATATGTAAATCTGATTTTCCATTATTATTATTATTATTATTATTATTATTATTATTATTATTATTATTATTATTATGAATGACACAGTAAATTAACTACTACGTACACCGTTTTCTTGTCTTGACAACGCACAAAATAGACAAATTTTGGACAATGGATAATATGACAGACGACAACATACGACCTACTCGTATGTTGAATACGGTTGTACATTATGCTGGCGAGAAAAATGCAAGAAAATTCATACTTAGTGAAGTGTTGCACACAAATGGCAAAGAAGTTAAAGGTAAGATTTCTTGTAGACTATCTCTTTTATTGTCAATTAAGGAGAGTACTTGGAACAGATGGATATTTAACATAAAAAATATATAAAAATCTGTACTAAAACATAAAAGTTAAACAATCACATATGCAATTCAGTGAATCTTAAACGCATGAATAAAATATAATCCAATTTCTGAATTATTGTCAGAGCAATACTCATTCACAACCTTTTTTAGACTGATCTCTTGAAAAAAAAGGTCTGCCCGTTCTTCATAGAAATTATGCTTTCGGATGAAAATGTTTGGGAAATAAGTGCTTTGATATCAGTGAGACATCGGTTTTGATAAATTGAAAAAATGATTTGAGGTGGGCTCCCATGTCTCCTTCCCGGGGTTTGCTGCTGTTTAGTAATCTGTTTTGCCTACCCTGAACGTTGGTTCACGAGCAGTCTCTACAACCCATACATTCTGAAATTCCCACGAGTTATCAACTACTACAGGATTGAGTCGCCTCCCAACCCCTCTTCCAGCTTGCTTGATTTAAATACATATCGATAATTCTACATCGATAAATACAACGATAAAACGATAAATACGTGACGATAATTCTACATCGTTCTCGTTACAAAGACTTTTCGACACCAAGTCTTCGAGATTCGATGTCTCGGGATACGAGAACTTTAGCATGATCAGAGTTTGAAGCAATAATGCTTCAGGGGTACGTCGCGGGGTTCAGAGGAAAACGGTAAAGCCCTCTCATTGGACGAGTGATCGATTTTACATTTGATTGGAGGACAATTCTTGAGAGAAATAATCCGTGTAATTCAATATTTTACGGTTGTAATATTAGAATGTTTTCTCACGCTCAGTACTGGGATTTTATGCTGAAGCACTCTTTGAGAGGTTGGCAAAGCTGTGAACATGTAGGGAGGATGCTGGAGAATACACGAGGGAACTTGTAGGCTGCATACGGGAGAGTATTCAGGGATCGTGTGTGGAGGAGGCCGCTGGGTAATAGATGGTACAAATGCTGGTAAACGAAGGGGAAGAGAAATACAGGGGAATTTGAGAGCCTTAGTTGTTTCTTAAGCCGCATTATACATAATCAGATCTTTCCATTCTATTTTTGGAGGTAGATAGAAGCTCTTCTAGGGGCCCCATTTCGGTCAATGGTTGTCAAAGACGATTAAAATATCTAAATCTAAGCGAGATTAAATGGACTATTTGATATTCTGCGGCTATTAATTTCAAATCTTGCCCATATCAGAATATTTAACCACGTAACGACATGTAATACTGTCAGGGGCTGCGTACGTTCAAAGTTGCAGCTATTTTTCTTTTTAAAACAGTGATAACAGAGTGCCGAATGTTCTCCAAAGTACAATTAGTATAAATTATTATAATGTATTGCTGTTTATCAGGACAAATATAAAATTTTACCATAGATGTAAATCACGCTACGTACACCTGTTGTTTTTTCATTGGTCAAATACTATATTTACTCCGTCAATATACAATCCGCATTGTTTTGTAAAACAAATGATAGTATTGACATCTTTGAAATGTTTCGATGATGCTCCACATGCAGTCATAGATGAGAAAATAAGCAACCCAATGGCAAATATTATTTCGAAAAAGGAAAAAAGTTTTGAAACATTTCCCCTGGTTCTCTAGTAAAAGAAATTGTGAACTTGATTCACAAACATTAAATGATTTGTCAAATAATGTTAATGTCAGGACTGATAGTATTTATTTTTAAATACTTTTTTATTTCATTAGTTAAATTATCCTTTTTATATGTATTGTAGTGTCACATTTTAATCTTATACGTCTTTCTCCTTGTTAGAAGTTATGTACTTGATTCACGAAGATTTTAAATGAGCTGTGAAATAATTTGATTGGCTGGAATTATTAGTAATTGCTTTTTAAATTCTTATTCATTTCATGAGTTTAATGTTCCTGGTTACGTGTCTTGTAATGTCACATGTTATTTTTATGTGTGTTTTTTTTAATTAAAAATATATTTTAGAATTTATAAACAAAACATCCTGAATTTCGTTTAGTACAGCTTCCACGTCCTTCATTAAATCATTCCACGATTCAGCGATATGTTAAGGTAACGTAATGAACTGGGATTTGGGTATTACAGGATCTATCTTTTTCGATTTATTAGTTTACTTAATAGAGTTTTTTG